AGGACTGATTTTGGTGCCGAGGCGGGGACGCCGAGTGGACTTGGGATGCCCCTGCTACAGAACGGGGTCTCGCAGGTGCGGGCGCTTGGGGCCACGGTGCCCATTGGCACCACTGTCCTTGCAATGGCGCCCCTTGCCACTGGCCAGTATGGGGTCCTAGCAGATCCACTGGCTCTTGAGGGGCAATGCGGCCCGGGGAGGGACGGCTGGGAGCCGAGGCTGAGGTCATCGATGAACGCATGGTGTCGTACGAGCGGCTGGACCGGTCCCGGCCATGTCGGCGCCGACCTCGGGATTTGGACCTCGACGACGTGTATATGTCAGAGGTACTGTCTCTGGAATCCCTCCGGCGATCGTGGCTACGACGCCTCGGTGCCGGTGCCATTCGGGATGCACTCCGAGTATGGCGTCTGTCTCGGTGAACACTCGAATATGAATGGCAGTGCCGACGGCGTCGAGAGCTACTCCTATCACTCCGACTAGAAGAGGAGCGTCGACGCCTTCTATCACGGTGCCTGTGGCCCCTCCGGGCAGTGGAGGCCTCCGGAGACTCGCTCTCAGGCGACCCGGCCAACGGAGTAGAGGTCTGTCGCGGGCTAAGGGAAGGCCCCTCGGAACGGGCAGGCATCTTCGCCTCGGTTTCCCTCAGGACCGGGGGCCCGACTTGGGCGGCGCGCCCGGCACCGGAAGGATGAGGATGTCACACGCTGCCTGTGCTGCCTCTGGCGTCGAGGGTATCCTTACCGGAGGAGAGGCACGCGTGGACGGGACCGGACTACTCTGCTCCGCGCGAGTCAGAGGTCTAGGTCCCTCACCCCTATCCTTGTCTTGGCGCCGCTGGGTCTTCCCTTGCTTCTTAGCGGGGGAGCGGTGCCGACTGGTCGATGGGCCCTCGCTCCGCACCGAGGACGCGATGCCTGGCGCCGGGTCAGGTCGGCGCGCCGGTGCCAATGCCGACTCCATGAGTAGAGCCCGGAGATGGATATCTCATTCACGCTTTGTCCGAGGCTTGAACGATTTGCAGATTTTGCAACGCTCACTTATGTGAGTCTCGCCCAGACAGTGAAGACACAGAGTGTGGATCGCTTCTGGGCATGGAATTGCGACAGGAGTCGCGCGACTTGAAGCCTGGGGCACAGGGCATGCCCCAAGCCAGACCGCTAACTAGAGAAACTAACTACGGTCGAAGAATCGTATCACTAAGGCTAGAGAGCTACAGCTAGGCTGGAGCACAAAGTTCCGACTACCTTCACTGGCGGCAAGAAGGAACTGAGGGTGTGGGGAGCGCGCAGCGCCTCTTATAGCGCGATACAGAGGCGCCACTCCAGGGGTCGCAGCGGGGCTCCCCCACTACGGGTACTGCTAAAGGAAAAACTTCCGACACCGGTGCACGTGGAGAGCATGCACACCTACTGTGGAATACACATGAGCAATCACTCGAAGAAGAATTCTCCCTTTCATAAGCACAGGTGTGAACGCAGATGGGAGCACGGGGCTCTACATTTTTGATATTTACCAATCTACCAGTTTTCAGAATCTGAAATAGTCTAATATTTTACTCGTTTCTTATAGCTCATCCAGTAACTAAGTTCCTGCCTGCGAGGTTTGGTTTTGGATGAGGGAGAGAATAACTAGATCTAGCAGGCATCCAGTTTGGTTAAAAACAACATGTCATAACTTTGAAAATGATGAATATTAACTCATGTTTGTAAAACACTGAAGACAAAAGTGCCACAGCACATAGCGCTACATAAATATTATATGTAAGGAGATTAGATTTGTGCTTTGATATACAGTATCAACAAAATGTGGCTCAAGCTTTTTCTACAAATTCTCATTGGTAACAATGAAGTTAAGCATCTCATGTATAGCACAGTAACTCAGCATTTACTTAAATTATATTAAATTCAACATGGGGAAAAGGTAGTCAGCACCTCTCAATATCACACCCTTAGTAAATTAAACTGAGAACATGAGAAAACGCAGTCCAATGTACATTGTGCAGATGCATGTTACATATGCTGCACCCATGAACTACATCTCCAAAGTTACTGACTGATGAATCTGATTATGTGTTCATGTTATCTGGAGTTTAGAAGAGTGGCCTGGGAATCAGTGCTAATATGTACTATTTCTGACTCTGCCGCTGATTGGCAGTATGACTCTTGTCAAGTCATACCCTCTCTCAATTTAACAACAGTGGATCCAAAATTAAATGATAGGAATTTATTATGTTGGGAAGCTATTAAACCTTCTAACAGATAATTTAATTCTTAAAACAAAAGGAAAGAATTTCATAATATGGATATCCCCAGATACCACAGCAATGGATGCAACATAAATATCTAGAGAGAGAGAGATAAAGGAAAGCACTTTCAGAACAGGACATAGGAGATTTAGCCACTCACTCCCAGGAAACTCTCATAGAATTTGCATGTCTAAATTCTCATGTCCTGCTTGAAAATAGATGGATCAAAGTTTGTGTGGTGATTGAGATATTAAAGATTAATGCACATTTTCTTGCACATTTATGTGTTCAGAGAAAATCATTCCATGTATCATGCTTGCAAATCTTCTAACTGGTTTCCTGCACATGTGTGTTGTTAAACATCTGTCAACTTGACAACCATTTTGTATAAATGAGAAATGACTGCTGTTGATGATTGAGCTTTATCACACATATGGCAGGATACTTCTGTAAGGCATTCTTTGCCCTGATATACTGCATAAGCTAGTAGATTCCCTCTGCCCAAATTTACCAGTCACATCTGTATCTTGAAAGTTTCTTACTAAAAGAGGAACCAACGCCAACCAAGACAAAGAATTTGCTGATACACACATGTCACTCCAAGAATTCTCCTGACAAAGTTCCCACACCCAATTTAATTACTTCCCTACTGTAAAAACACTTTCCATCTGCATTTATTGTAATAGTTTCAAATCCAAAACCAACACACTATAAAGCTAGCTAAATAAATGAATGATATTGGCCTTAAGTCCCAAGCCAGCAGCCATTCGGTAAGGCAATGTGTCTCCAGCATTCATTTTTATGCTGATGTTTCATTTTATGTGCAATGTTTTCACTTAAGACTTATTTGAGAAGAATTACCTTACTCCAGGCTTTAAAACTTTGTGGGCTATAGCAGTGCCCTCTAGCGCCACTCTTGTCAAAGGTCTGTCAGTGATTCCATTCTAAGACCACAGTTGCATCGTATATCAACTCTGGCATAAAAACTTGCTTCTAGCTATATACACAGCATTACAAACTCTCAGACCAGGAGCATTTCCTTTTATTTAAATTAGATCTGGTTTAAAATACATTTCCTTAAATAAGGGGGGAGGGGGAGACACAAAATATATACTTTTTGTTCAAAATTTTCCTTTTTTCAGTAAATGAAATCTTACCAGATTTACAGTTTGATCATTCACAGTGTGGGTCACTTTTGCAGTTGGGAGAAAAAAATATTCTATAGATTTATTTTATTTAGTATAACAATCATCGTAACGACCATTCAACAGAAAGTTCACAATGGAGTAAGTATTATGAAAGCATACTGGGTCATGAAGTGCCCTTAGACTTGTTACAATACAAGGCCCTGATCCAGCAAAGCACTTGAGCATGTGCGTAACTTTTCACATGTTTAGAGTCCCACAGGGGACGACTCACATGCTTAAAGTTACGCTCATGCTCAAGCGCTTTGCTGAATCAGGACCCTAATGCTACTGAAAGTACTTGTAAAGAGCTGTGAGGTTTTTAAAACTGAAACTTAATTTTCAATCAAAAATACCAGGCCAGGGTGTGAAGGGGAGGACAGCATTTATATTAGATTATTATTAAATAAGGATCAAAGGTTCAAACCAGCTCCCATTGAAGTCCATAGCAAAATTCCCATGGACTTCAATGGAAGTAAGATCAGGCCTCATAGTCTGTGCTCAATTATGAGTACAACTCTTACTGAACCCAATGAAAGCTGTGCATGTGCAACTGAATAATGTGAAAAGCAAATCAAAGAAATTCTGACATACTGTACAGGACTATTCACAACTATTCTATTGTCCATAAGTATTATTGTGTCCCAACCAGTCAGAGGTCTTGCATACATTAAAGCTGCAATACCCAGACATAAGCATAGTAAAGTTTCAGTCATTTTTAATTTCTTAGCTTTTTTGTGTTTCTTTAGGTTTATACTGTGTTTTTCTTTTTGTGATTAAACTTTCTTTTTCCCTGTGAAATTGAAATATAGCTCTTGTAAACAGAAATAAGACACAATGACAGCCTATAAAATGTTTCACTCCACAAATCTTAGACAAAACAATGCCCTGTGTCTTAAGAATTTAATAACCACCAATAATTTACATGCTGGATGGCACATTTGCAGTAATTACTGCATCACTTGTCCAAAATATAGACAGGAATAGTGACCCCATTTAAGTTACATTGATTTCCTTTTCTACTTACATATAAAATTAGGAAACAATGCATTTTAATACATACTTTTTGAGGAGTGTATGGGATTTTCCCAACATATGAACATTAGCACATTTTGCACAAGTAAACATTTTTAAAAAAAAATCATGGTAAAAGAATTTTTACCCAAATAAAAACTGATCTGCTGGCACTGAAAGTAAATGGCAATACTAAATGAATGGCAACAATCATAGGTGCAGAAAGGGATGAGAAAAGAAAAAAAATAATTGATCTAGAGACTTTACTACAATATTTATTGTTTTAAATGTGATTCTCTTCTAAATTGAAGGTGATAAATCACTATTAATACACTATCAAAACTCTCTCCACCCCCTGTCCATTCCCAATCTCAATTCTTATCAGTAACTGCAAAAAACAATACCACCTCTGGGATGAAATACATTTAAAAGTAATCTAGCCAGACTTATTAACTCTTTGCAATACTAATCTCTCATGCCTTTTGCTATATAGCTTCAGTATTGCTTCATATCACCATGTTCTTCTCATTAAGTATTTACTTTAGTTACTGTACCTGGAATTCTGAGCCTCTGAAACATCTGATTCTGTGCACGTTTTCTTTACCTGCAAAAGCAAAATGATTGCCAGTTACTCTCATATGAAAACACAACTTCCTCACTCATAGTTCACGCACTTATATCGCTTAAAGTGGATACAGCTCTGCTCACCATGATATCTATAAAATACTTCCCGCATTTTACAGCAGCAGTATGCAGTACTAAACAGTGTGTTTCATTATTATCCCATGAACAGCTGCCAACTGCACTTCCCTAGACTCCATTAGTATGTAAAATGTTCAACTAAAATAGCTTGGGAGTAGTCTAACTAGGAACAAAGAAACCAAAGAACCAGGTTTCCCACTTAGAAACTAGAAAGCCATACTGTTCTCAATTCAGCAAAGAAATGTTTTCCCAATTGATATTGCTTCTGTTTCCTGCTAAAGCTCACAATAATAAACACCAGATTCTGGGGCAAAGTGCAGTGTTAGCTAAATAATTCATACATTAATTTTCATTTTCTGAATCCGGTAACTATATGTTGAATGTATTTTCATAATGTGCCAATGAAGTTTACATATCATGTACACATTTTTCACACATATCCACAATATACAATTATATATACTCTAGTTCAACCTTCAGATCCATCTTTGTGATATACTGCTGTTAGCCAGCGAAAGGAGAAAAAACCCCACCTCCAACTAAAAATATAAACTGCTCTTTTCCAGGCCCTTTATGGTGTTGGGGTCCTCTGGAGTGGTGCAATTTGCACCTTTTGGTAATTTAAATTTCAGGCACTTTCAGTAAGACAAACATTTTGTTGAACGTTCAAGCTAATGACTTGGTTGCGATATCAAAATTCCTTCCATTAAGACCAGCTAAATTCATTTACAGACACTCAGGCTTACTTAGTATCACTTCTACTTACTGCACACTCCCCCTGTTACCAATAAATATTCAAATTCTGAGCATTTACAATTACACTACCTTGATCAAAGGGTTCTTCTATTGTCAAATCCTCCTTTTGTTATACTGTCTTAAAAAGAATGTCTGTGACAGTTAGGGTGGGATTTTCAAAACTATTCAACACTGCCGAACTTTCCCCGTCAAAGTCAACAGCAAAACTCCAACAGAATTCAATGGGAGTAGAGGTAGGCCAATATTGAGCACTTTTAAAAATGCCACCTTTCAAGACTTTGAATGGATACCTAGCAACACTACTCAAAGATGGGCAAGTACAAGAATGACTCTAGAGAGCCATTTTTACTCTTGTGTAATTTCTGGATCTTAAAGAATAATCATGCTACCTACAATGTAAATTGTATAGAGTACTGTTCAGTAGCAATAATGGAAATTTTCTTTCGGTGCTAATTTTAACAGCACATTTACCGTAATAGATGACAGCTACAAATAATCATAAAAACAAAATAAAACCAAATTAAAAAAAAAATCTGATTCAATATGTGTTTTGTTTTATTTTTGCCATAAATCTCACTCCAGCAAACATGAATATCTGCTTAGTCATCTTGCTTAATTCTCAATGTGGGATTTTTTTCAAACTGCAAAAAGAACAACAGGTTTTGTAATAAGGTAATGCAATGAAAATCTGCAATAAGAGTAGTTGTGCAGCTTAAAAAGTGAAGAAAGTTCTTGCATAGCAAAATGAGATGGTTAGGGCTTTGGAAACATTCAGATAAAGATACCACTTTCTTTATTAAAGAAAGATACCTGTTTCTTTATTAAAGAAACATTAGATAAGGAATGTGAGCAAGGACTGGGAGGGGTGGGGCTGAGGGGTTCGGAGTGTGGGAGGGGGCTCTGGGCTGGGGTAGGGGGGTGGGGTGTGGGAGAGGGTGAGGGTTCTGGCTAGGAGTGCGGGCTCTGGGGTGGGGCCATAAATGAGGGGTACGGAGTGTGGGAGGGGGATGAGGGGTGTGGGCTCTGGGCAGTGCTTACCTCAGCCAGCTCCCAGAAGCAGCCAGCATGTCCCCTCTCCGGCTCCTAGGCACAGGGATGGCCACGGGGCTCTGCACACTGCCCTCGCCCCCACGCGCCGCCCCCACAGCTCCCATTCATGGCCAATGGGAGCTGCGGAGCCAGCGCTCGGGGCAGGGGCAGTGTGTGGATCCCCCATGGCACCCCTGCACTTAGGAGCCGGAGGGAAATGCTGGCTGCCTGAGCCCCGCTGCACCGCTAACCGGACTCTTAACAGTCCAGTCAGTGGTGCTGTTTTCAATTCCAGTTGAAAACTGGACGCCTAGCTATCCTAGATAGCAGTAGAAGTCCACAATATACATGTACAAATACATTTCATGAAATATCCAAATTACAGGAGATTTTTTCAGAGATAAATTGAAAATAGTTAAAAAACTGAAATGTCACTAATCTTTTTTCTTGATAGGAAGACTTTTCTTTCATAAACAGAGTATCTCACTAAACAGGTATAAAATTTTCTTGGTAGGAAAAGGATCCCTCCACTTTGCATATAAAATGAATGCATATTTCAAAATATTAAATTTACTTAGTTTAGTAACTTATTGGTTAAAAAATTCCCAATTAAACTACTCACACTGGCATTCCTAAACTTGTACTCAGTTGCAAGCCATCTGCTGAGATCTCCTTATCATTTGTATTAACTATCACTTATACAGTATTTTTCCATTCCTAAGTCTTTACATGGTTATCATCAATGGATCAATAGAACTAGTAAATGCAATATCATGTCCTTTGGTGGGCAGAACTACTACTTGCACAGGAGTGAAAGGATAAATAACTTATGCTCTAAGACTATCTGAATTCAGTGCTGTGGATATAGACAATAAACACATATTACAGAGTAACTCAAAGTATTAAAATATTGTGATATTCCTTTGCAGTGTACGTTAAAAATTATAAAACACTAGTTTACCATAAAAAGAGTGACAGAAAAAGACTGTTTTTAGCTGTTATACCTTTGTCAAACTTTAACTATTTCCGATAAATGTTTCCATGCTGTGTGTCCGCTTCAGGCTGACTTTTTAGAAAGTCTGAATTAAAATGGTCCAGCTAGTTTTAAACATGAGATTTGGGAAAATATCGTTGCCTGCGGATGGTCAACATAAACAAACTGTCTTGCGGCCTGCCAGTGGATTACCCTGACGGGCGCGTGCGGCCCGTGGGCCACAGGTTGCCCACCACTGCTATAGAGTCTCCATGCTTTGGAGCAGGTACATGAAATTTGGCAGGGGGCTTGCTCTGGTGCCAGTGATGGGCTGGGCCTTTTGCCATTCCTGTGAAAACCTGTGCAAAATTGCTCAAGTTATAAGCCTCTGAAAAAATTCACTTTGCAGATGGTCAGCAGAGACTTATTAGAGTCTGGCAGCTAAATTCTCTGAAGATTCCACCTGCACTGATCATGTTCCACCCCAAAGTTGCAGGGGCTGAGCAGAACTTTCCCTATAATTCCTCCTCCTGGTGATGCCAAGCACAGGGACTGAAAGCAGGGAGACACACACTCTCTCTCTCTCAAATCTTCCCTTATATGAATTCAGGAGGCTTGACTCAGATGGAGGGAGCTGAGGAATTGGGGGGAAGGGGAAACAGGGAAAATAGGAACAGAGAGGAAGAGAGGGTTGCAGGCGCTAGAGGGCAGGATAAAAAGGGGTATATAGGTGCAGACCGAGAGGGAGCCAGTAGTTGGGGGGATGGGGGAAGATAGGAGCAGAAAGGGAAGGAGCAGTAGTCAGGGGCTGGCAAATGGATAGGGGAATAGGGAGGGGGACTGGAGCTGGGAAGATGGGGTATGGGTTTGGATAGGAGCAGAGGAGGAGGGAACAGGAGCTTGGTGGGTGGGAAGGAGCAGAAGGGTGGTGGTGGCAGGAAAAGGGGGGCAGGGTGGATTGACTTAAATCCCAGTATTTTCATCATCATTTAAACACAGCAAGCAGGAAACCTTGATTTAAATAATCAATTTTAATCTCGTTTTGCATTTGTACTTCTTAGTTATTTTCATATAAAAAGATGATTCTCAGTGGCTAGTAACCATTAAAACATGTTGATTTACAACTAAATATAGTATTTACACTGAATTTGGTGGTTCTTTTTGCTAACCTGAGGATACACTATCTATACATATTTATTTGAGCAACTGTATAGCTTAACTTACATTTATTCAGATTCTTAATTTTTACATTTTTATTATGGTAGAAAATGGTGACTGATGCATTTATTTACTAGATGGCAATTAATTAATTTGTGATTTATATCAAGCTCTATTTGGATGGAAATTTAATTAAAAATGCAAAAAACGGCATTCAATTATTTTTTAATAAATAAAGCTACTTAAATGTGCTGGATGCATAAGGAAAAAAGTTTATCAAAACTAACTGATTTATTAAACAAAAGAAATATTATCTGTAGTTACTGAACTGAAGTGAGTTTTTCTAGTCACCATGTTCAAGGTTTTAGACCTAGTAGAGCTCATCCTCTCACACCCAATTTTTATTCATAGACTGAAAGAGGAAAACAAGCTTTCCTGACTCCCAATTGGCTTCTTAAACTTTGAACGAACTAGTCTTTGAACTGAATTAACAGAATAAACTAAAATGAAGAACATACTCTCTCTGTAACTGGAGAACAGGCTACTGCTCAGAACAGCGGGTTTAGCACTGTAATAAATTCTGGTTTCAGATTATTAGCCAGCGATTTCCACCAGGTCAGTGGTTTGACTTTCTTTAAAACTTGGCAGCAAATATATAAAACTTAATTTTTTTTGCATTTAATGTAAATATTTTTAATAGATTATAAATGTAGGCCCTAACATAGGTTGTCAATTTCAAATTTAATTTTATATAAGTTTATTTTTTAAGATGAACTTTATAGTTAAATTTTAAAATATCTGATTTATTTGATTTTTTTCCTACACCTGATCGGGGTGGGAGTAGATAGGAGGAGAGGGGGATGGGAGTAGGCTGGGACACAACCACTAGCGAACACTCTTCTTCAAAACCTGGAACTGAACCCAGGAGTCCTGAGTCTCTATACTTCTCTGCTGCCTGCAGTATCTGAGACTGGCAAAGAATGTGT